CTGCTGCACTCAGGGGTAGGGATCAAATGAACTATGCTGGTTCCATATGCACTATGGGAAAAGCAGGCAGAAGAGAGGAAGAGCTCTAAAATTAAGATGGAATTTTAACCTCTTCCTTCTCTGTTGACACTGACTGTAGGCATGTCTAACAGCTTTTCAGACAATTGTGTTTGATTTTGTTCCACAAACCTTACCTAGATCCACATTCATTAGCTGACTCTCTGCTGCCATCAAAATTGAGGGAAGGAACACATTTTAGCACGGCTTAGAAACAGAGGAGATCAAACTAAACTCTGCAGCTCCAATGAGCGAAGGAATTATGTCCTATCCACCTTCATGAAGCCGCAAAGACCAAAATCTCTTGAGAGCGTGCCATTTCCTTTCAGCCTTGTGCACTGAGCCTTCAGCTCATCACGGATCAAAAGATGCTGCACTAAATTACAAGAAAAATGACTGCATTCTGTTTAGTTGCAATCCTGGTAGTCATAACAAATCTTGTGTGCATCAGATGGCCTCCAGAAAAATCACATGCAACAGCAACACCATCCTCAGATGCTCTCCCAGTACCTTACCTAATCATTGCTCCGTCACTGGACAAGACTTGTCCCCACCCTTCACACCTACAGCAACAAACCTACAAATCTTCCAAACATTTCTTCAATTCCACACCCCTCCGGAACATTCCCGCTTAAAACCGCACAGCTGCCCACGGGACAAAGGTCCAGTGTTACAAGCTTCTGCTCTCCCTCCACACAAGCCCCTTGCACATCTTGCACTGCTGCTCTGAAACTGCACAATTTGTCAGCAGCACCATTAGACTCAGAATTGGATGGGTTAAGTTGGAAACAGTTCAGGCTACAGGAGTTCTTTATTATTCACCCTCATGGAATGCCCCTGCCCTTCAGAGCTCAAGCACTCCTGTGCAGAGCATCTCATGGAGCCAAAGAGAAAGGACTGCTGTCCCAAAAGAAGAGTCTGGGAGGAACTCCCAGTGTCCTTCATGCCTTGAGAAAGCTAAGGAGCAGTCACTGATGGCCTAAAGGGTACAAATTCAGTTCAGACGACAAATTTTCCAGGCTGATCCCCCTCCTCTTTATCTTCTAACACAACTACAAACAAACCAAATGATAGATTTCACAAGGAATAAGGGATGTTTAAAAGCAAATCTCTAAACTAAGCCTGGCATGCTCACCCAGGAGATCAACACAGCAAGGCAGGCACTCTGCACTACCTAGTTCATGGCAAGAGATTTCTAAACTCTACCAAATGAAGTTAAGAAATGAAACAGAGAGCAATAGAACCATATTTTAATTCATTTCAAGGTATGGAATAACACAGAATCTTTTCCATGAAACTAGGGCATTTTTCTCCCTTATCTAGTGCCCAAGTAAGATTAGAAATTGGGAAAAAAACCACTGAAACTGCAAATGCATTTTGCCCCCAGCTAGAAACAAAAGGTAATTATTTGAAAACTAGAAAAAACTCCAAGAGGAAACGAAAAACATTATGGAATATGTATTATTTTTATCACCCAGAATTCCCCATGGTAAAGGCACAGAGAAAACCATCATTCAGAAGTGGGAAAACAGAGGGACTGTACAAGTGAAATGGAGTTCTGACAAATGATGCTGTGTAGAATATGGGTTTCCAAACCAACAGAACAAAGGCACCCCGACAGCAGCAGCCTCAAATATTGTATATTGCAGCTGAAGCACGGGGGTTTCTGTAGATTCACCTTGTAAACTGGCACACTTACTTGCCAAGGCTGCTGAACTTCTTTCACCTTAAACCACAAAACCTCCCAGTCCTTCCACAGCAATCACTCCATCAAATCAAGACAGACCAAAACATGTTCTTTGCGCTGTTCACAATAAGATGAAGTTATGTGCCCAAGAGATACCATTTGAAGTCAGAAGGAACAAGCCAGCAGGTGTAGAAAACTGGTATTTGAAGAAGTGATAAAAAGACAGCAAACTGAAGCCCATGCTTAATACAAAACCCCACGATTAATAGAACACAAATGCAGATGGATATGATAAGCTTGCACTGTCGAAGCTAAAATAATTTCTAACAAAAATCACCACATTTCCAAGAATTCAATACCACTTGTGGTGGCCACTCCTGATCTCTACATAATATGTCAGCAGTTCAATTGGCAAGAATCTCTTTTTCTAGATCCAAGCAGGGAAGAAGTCAAGGTCCCAGTGCTATGCAATTCTGTAGCTTCATTAGAAACCTTTCATCCTGCAATAGTTGAAATCCAAGCGAGAAAAGAACCTGTTTGGACACCAACTATCCTTAGTAGCAACGTTTTGCAGCACGCAATTTGAAAAGGTTAACCTGCCAGGCAATAATACAGACAAGAAAAATGAAAAGGAGGGCAAGGAGAATCATCTGCTGCTGAAACTGCTCTTCTACAAAAACCAAGTGATATGAAGATTCAGCCCGTGAAGAACACATTCCTCAACCAGGAGAGAAAAACACAATTCTTAAAAATCTCTTCTGTCGTTCTGATTGGGAACGGTGGGAAAGAACGACACGGACTCTCAAGGGAGTCACAACAGGAGAATCTTCTCTACTTTATTACTCTAGGCTTGTCTTATGGACAGATACGTGGAAGGTACAGAAAGGAAATTCTTATTGCTTAGTAAAGTGCTACATCACCATCATTGGTCAGTGGGGCTCACCACCCCCCTGTCTTTCTCCTGCAAGGAAAACAAGAGGACAGACAAACAGCACCTGGCAGTTGTTTTCTGTCTGTGAGGATTGTTTTGAAATCCTCCTATGAAATCCCAGGCTAGCTTCTCGGGCAGGACTGATAGGCCATGGGGCCTGCAGTTTCTGCAGCTCTCTGCAGCCTGCTGCTCCAATACTCTTCACTACATTAGAGATAGAAAATTGACTACAAATCACGTGTTCACTACTTGTTGCTTGTTCACTACTTGTTGCTTGTTCACTACTCAGACATCAGAATTACTACCACAATACTAGAAGAACAATCCAAGAAACATATTCCAGGGATGCATTTTAATTCATTTGCTGCTGCCAGCCGTGCTGTGCTTTGCTTCTATCCATCCATCCTGCTGCAAAAAGGTTCAATTGTGTTTTCACCATCACGTCAAATCAGCTCTTTGACTCACAGCTCACCACAGACCTCGAAACAGGAGGCAAAGATCTGCACCACTTGACCCTTCAGAACTTCTCACCCATCTATGACCTTTCTGGGGCCAGCTTCAGAAAATGGGGGGGAAGCCATTCCAAGGAACATGACCAAGGAAATCACACAGCACTCGGGACTTGTTCCAGGCATCAAATTTTTAATGGATGATGTGAAGTAACACCGAAGCAATTCCTGTCCACAGAAAAAAAGATTTCAAATGGTTTTGTCTCAAGGACAATCACTGGAGGTTGAAAATTTCTGGGGCTGAAAGTTACATGAGGTCCTCAACATTGAGCAGTCAATATCCCCACAGTCTAAACTGTGAAATTACTACCTGGGCAAGGAGAACATTTTCAGGATTTGCAACTCATCTCAAAGCCTCAGTAGAACTCAACCAGCAGAATTCCCCTGAGATGGCACTGTGCTCTGGAAGCCCTCAAATACTCACTAAAACAGACTTGACTTTCACTAGGACAGCTGCTCATGAAAATCTGGGGTAAAACCTATGGGAAGTGGCCATGTGCACGCA